TCTCATTACAGATGGTTAGGAGCCACCACGTGGTTGCTGGGAATTGAACGCAGGACCTCTCAGCCAGTGCTCTTAACTGCTGAGCCATCTCTCCAGACCCCTCTTTTTTTTTTTCTTCTTCTCAATTCGAAATTATTTCTCCAGTGGTTTCTTTATGAGAGTCCTTAGTACAAGCCTTGGCCAAAGCGTTCTCCTAGTTTGCTGAGTTTTCCTGGGGCGGGGGCGGGGCCAGGGGCTGCGTTTGGAAATGCTCAGACACTGTTGCCTCCTCTGTGTTCCGTTCTTGATTCTGAGCTGCGCAAGCGAAGCTGCATGAATCTCGCGTGGCGTTTGGCAGATAAATGCCATCGTTTAAACCCGAAAACCAGGAGAAGTTGGCGTTTCTCCGCTGCTCTTACCCTCTCTGTGACCACTTGTTTTGTAGGCTGTGAGTGGGATTGACACTCAGATCATTTACCACAAGGACGAAAGCGACAACCTTCTCAATCAAGCCAGAGAGCTGCAAGCAAAGGCAGATTCTAGTAAGTATCTCATTTTCTCCTCCTTCTGATTCATGGCCACCTTTTATGAATGCAGATGAACTTCTAAAACTGAGGCTTGAGGAGTAAATAATATTCCACTAAATAATGTATCAGCACCTTAGAATCCAGTCACAAAACAGCAGGCTTGGTATTTCAACACATGGGGGAAATTCATGCTAATCAAATGGGCTGGCTGACAGAAACATCAGACTACTGACATTCAAGGAGATAAAACCATAAAATATACTAAGCACTAAAACTAGGTTACCCATCCAGAAGAACCTCCACATTTTTACAGTGAAGGGAGGCATCACCCCTGTGAGAGTTGACCGGGATGACTTGATACATCATCCCCATGACAGTCGATTGGCATGATGGGATACCACAAGCCGTCAGGTTGGTCAGCTCGGCTACAGCTTGTTTGCCGCAGCGGATGGCTGTGGACAGCCCTAATAGACACATAGAAGGAAGCTTTCCCCACCGCTCTGAAAGTGAGCACACTGGGAATGGGACAGAGAAGGACACAAGTGAAAAGCCTCAGTCCTTCTGAACCTCATGAGTGACTCCTACAAACAACTGAAAGGACCAAGAATATCATCAAATGGTTCTCATTTCTGAGGTCACGGACTCATTCCTAAGGATATTTGAGCATTGACTAGTGAGTTGGAAAGCCATTCTCCAGCTGACTTCTGACTCTCACCTGAAAGCAAGCCAAGTTGGAAACAGAAAACTTCTTGAAATTTTATCAAAGCAATTAATCTCAAACCAACCATGCATTATCTTTTTGTCCTCTTCTGAAAAATATTATATATAGAAAAGAGTGTGCTTTGATTTTCATATTCTGAATGCTGAATACCTCAAGGCCATTGCTATTTTATGCTTTCTAGGTAGAAAAAGGTAATAAGAACACTATTAATTTTCTCTGTCCTAATTTATTACATAATTCACATTAATGTCTTGTGGAACTAATTCTGAATATGCTTTCTGGAAATTAATGAGAACATTAGCAGTAAAGAATTAGGATTTTGTTTTGTTTTGTTTTGTTTTTTGAGATAGGGTTTATCTGTGTCACAGTCCTGGCTGTCCCCCTGTAGATGAGACTGGCCTCCCTCGAACTCACAGAGATTTGCCTGCCTCTGCCTCCGGAGGGCTGGGATTAAAGGCGTGCTGCCAAATCTGTGAGCTGCTTTTGTTTCTTGAGTTGGGAAGGCCAGCATATAGCAATCCTTATAAGTCAGTCTCTTAAACATTCTAACAGTTGTGCACACATGTTCTCAGTGAATGCTACCATTACCGAGTCACTGAGCCTGCTGAAAGCAACCTTCCTGTCTGGAAATAGTGTGTCCTCAGAGTCCCATGTTTTATATCCAGTAAATCTCTTGCATCAGCTTCTTTGACAGTCTGGCAGATCTGGTCACATATTTCATGATCTGTTTTTGGTTAAATTCCTTCCCTTGTATAAGGAACAACATAAAGAAGTTAGGACCATGTAACCAGAAACTTGATAGGACTCTCTCCTTTGGGCAATAAGCATGTTTGTGATATAAATTCAGATTTTCATCTACTCACTTACATTCTAATTCCAGGTTAGTGTTTCTCCATTTTCAAATGGCTTTCCGTAATGAGTAGTCTTTATTTCTCAGCTTGCTTTCTCTTTTGTTGTCTGTAACAAAGTTTAACAAATCGTAATAAACTTAAGAAAGTGCCATTTGCCTTAATCTTGTGAAAGAACAATAGCCTCTTCCATCAGGAAACACTTTCAGCAAAACATTTCTTTTTATAAATATCCAGCCCCAAATAGATTCTCCTCTTATTTTTATCAAGTCCCAAGTATAAAGTTAAATAAAGCAGCATTTAATGCAGTCACAGGCCCCAAACCAAAAGCTGAAAGTGCTTTTATATCTGAAAACAGAAACTTCAAAAAATGAAAAGGGAGGTTCACTGTCACTAAAAACTATGTTAAGCCACTCTTGGCATGCTGGGAAATTCTCAGAAACCTAGAAGAGATAAGTACGTGCTTGTTCCTGGTTACACTGTACTTGGTGACAGGAAAACAGGGACGCTCCACCTTGTATATATCCACTATACACAGCAGTAACAACATACTCAAAGATGGACGTAGAAACAATGATGCCCTATAGGGTGTGAGTTTCTTAGAAGCCCAATGGAGGAAACAGAAGGAAAGAAGAAGCAAGACAACCATAAATTTCCTGGCACTTTAGAAGTAAGCCATAGCCAAACCCAAACCACTAGTTACTGGGAAAGCTGGTCTTCCATTCAGATAAAGAAATACAACGTCATGACCTTCTAGGATTTGCTCAATAATAACCCCAGTTTGGGAACCATGCCCAGGACATATTTTTAAAGAAAAAGAAAACTATCACAAATGAATGGCAGAGAGAAGATGATCCTGTAGAACTGTATACGCATACAGGTACGCTGTCAGTAACCTCAGAAATTAAACTCTCCCATAAAGAAGTATCCAGAGTCCCAGTGAATTCTTTCCAAATTTCAGAGAAGAAACAGCACCACTTTTATTCAAACGCTTCCAGATAATAGCAAAAGAAATAGTCTCCAAACTTGTTCTATGAAAGCCGGCAAAATGTAAATATCAAAACCTCAGGAGACATAGAAAAGGGGGAAATGAAAGCCAAATTCTCTTAAAGACACAAAAATCCTAATCAGCCAGATGTGGTGGCTCATACCTGTAATCCCAGCATTCCAGAAGCTGTTGAGACAGGAGGCTGGCTACAAAGCCAAGGCCAGCTTAGGCTAGAGAATAAGACTCTAGCTTAAAACACAAAAGATATTAGCAGTCAAATCTACCATATATACAAATGGTAGTGTGTGGTGAGCAACATAAATTTATTACAGGATTTCAAAGGTAGTTTAACAGTTAAAATATCTCACCACATTTACAGACTATAGGAGGAGAACATTCATATCATCTCACTATACACAGGAAATGTTTTTTTAATTTACTTTTTAAATTTTTCATATATAATTTGGTCATGTTCTTCCCCTCTCCTCCAGCTCCCCCCAGACCACCCCTTCCTACCCACTTCACATCCTTAATAAAACAGCACCCATCCAATATTTTTTAAACTCTTAGTAAACAAAGAACAGAAGGAAATTTCCATAATCTAATAAAGAATAATAAAATAATATTCAGCAAACACATTTATAATAAAATATTAAAAGACCTTTCCAACGAGGCTGCAAACAAAACCAGGATATCCCCATTACCAGTTCTAAATGAAATATCTAAGTATGAATTTAAAAAATAATAGATACCATATTCACTGAGGGACTCAACTTTGTAAAATGGACAGTTCTACAACACATATTTATGGGTGTAATACAGTGATGGTTGAGACACTGTAACACTATGGATGTACAGATAGACTAATTCTGGAATGAGAAGAGAGAGAAAATTCCAGCAGCCAATCTTGAAAAGTAAGAACAAAATATCTAATCAATAACATATCTCAGGAACACTAAACGGACTGAGTGGGTGCATGTATATATTGACATGTGTGTAGACATGTAACAATGTAATCAAAGAAAAAGAAAACAATAGAGATAATGCATGAAACAAAGAGGGCTTAGAGGGAGAGGACGGGTAATAGTGAGGAGGGGCCAGGGTATAATAATAATGACTGAGGATGATCAAAGTATATTATATACATGTATGAGATGTCATAATGAAACTCATTGTTTCATGCAACTGGTAAGTGCTAATGAAAATGGAAAAATATCAAGACTTATAGTTATAGATATCAGAACAAACATATAAAAGATTATAGTACTTTGTCATATTGGGGGGGATTTATAACCAGATAATACCTTCATTTATATGCACATACCCCCCCATACATATACACATAATTAAAAACAAAATAAATCTTTATTTGTAGGGACTGGAAAGGTGGGTTAACAGGTAGGAGGACATACTGTTCTTGCAGAGGACCCAGACTTGGCTCCCACTATTTAACCTCTGGTGGCTCACAACCATTTATAACTTGAGCTCTAGGGTAGGCAGTGCCCTCTTCTGGCCTCTGTGGGCACATACACTCACGTACACATACCCCACACAGACACAAACATATACACATAAATAAAAATAAAATAGGTCTTTAAAGCTAGATGATAATAGAAGCCAAATAGTGGTCCTCTCTGGTTAATCATAGACAGAACACAAAAGAGCTTGGTGGGTGCTCATAATGTTCCATCCTGATGACTTCCGTGTGGCCATATTTTGTGTTCACTGTGTGCAAGTTCACCAAACTGTGCATATATAATGTTTCTTAGGTACGTGACATATATTTGTAAACTTTTTATTGAGAGAACTAGGAGGACAATGGATTCTATTACAACCAGGCATCATCACATGGATAGATAAATGTCTTTTTGACTTTATCATTTGCGCTGCTGGATTTTTAGCAGCCACAGCCTTGCTCTGTTTCTCCAAAAAAGTGAGCATCGTGGCATCCTAAGTCACTCCCAGCTAGTGTCACATGCTTTCTGCTGTCTTGTACCTCTAATTCTAAATGCCATTTTCTAGAACTGACCGTCTCTTTCTAGAGTGCGAGATTATTATTACACTGGAGTCCATGACACAAGTCAGAACGTGTGTTGTTGAGACTTTGTCCAGGCATGGTGGACCTCCTGGTACTTTCCTCTGCTTCTTCTCCACAGGCAATGATGAGGCAGTGGCTGACACCAGCAGGCGTGTGGGAGGAGCCTTGTGGAGGAAGGGGGCCCTCAGAGACAGGCTGAGTGACACTGTTAAGCGACTACAGGCAGCAGAGAGAGGTAAGGACCCAGAACCTCAAGGTCCCAAGTGTTTGTCCGCTGGTGTAAAACAACCTCGCAGAGGGAGATGAGGTGACTCCTTGTTCATCAATTCCGTCATTCGGTAAGGTTTTTGTTTTCTTATAACAACAACAACAACAACACTGTTCATTACTATCTAAAAACTATCCTTAAAAACAAAGCTGTACCTGTATCACCCAGAGATGAGCATTAAACCAAAAGTGTTTTCTTCCAGTCTTTACCCTGCGCCTACATGCATGTGTCCACATGTGTTTGAATAGGATTGTGCTGTTTCTGCCGCCTGGTACCTCTCCTGTGAACATCCACCCTTGCTAACAGTGTGCCCTAATTTGGTTATTGGATTTCTCTGGCCCCCCGCTGTAAACAGCATCCTTCTGTTATGTGTCAAGTTATTCTTATCAAATAAGCAGGGAGATCGATGCACCAAAAAGAGAAACAAGAGTGCTTCCCTTGTCTAATCTGGGACTCTAGTGGTGTCTTGAAAAGCTGTGATTGGAAGCAGATGTGCCTTCCGAGGCAGAGCAAAAGTTAAGACACTGTTCTGGATATAGGTGTTTTGCTGAAATGTGCCGGCCAGCCTTGGAGCCCGGGAGCTCTGGCTAGGAGAGTGTGCACGCACTGAGAAGCCTTATCAGAGCTACTGATGATGGATGCTTGCTGGGCTCTGTGCTGTGGAGATGAGAGTCACTATTTACCTTCCAGCTGAGGAGAATCCTGAGGTTTGTCAGGGCATGGGCACTGGTGCTAGAAGGGAGAGCCAGGATTCCAGCCAGAGTACAGCAGGATCCAGAGCCTGGAAGATTAAACAAAATGTTTCTTCACTTTAAAAACCTGACGTTACAACATCACCTAAGTGATTTCTAAGTATTTTTATTACAAAAGTAACACATTACCCTTATAGAAAAATGTGAAAACATGTCTTAGAAGAGGAAAAGAAAAAAGCACCCATAATCCCATCATCTAGACAAAATTTGATGTTGTAAATTTACATTATCTTTATTTTAAACATGCAGTAAGTTTTATCTGTGTGCATATATGTGTGTTCTGTATGCATGTGCATACGCACACGTGTGTGTGTGTGTGTGTGTGTGTGTGTGTGTGTGTGTGTGTGTGAGCAAAAGAGAGCACAAGTACTTGTGCACTGTACTACTGTGCACTGTGAAAGTCAAAGAACAACCTCAAGTATGGACCTTCGTGGTCTACCTCATTTTAAACAAGGTCTCTAGTTCCTGGAACTCACCATGTGAACTGAACTTGATCCCCTGCCTCTACCTCCAGCCAGCTGGGATTACAGACATGTCTCGCTATACCTGAGTCTTTTGCTGTTTTTGTGAGGTAGGGTCTTAATGTGCAGCCATGGTGGCCGAGAACTTACTATGTACCCTAGCTAGGCTGGCTTTAGGCCCGTGGCAGTCCTTGCTGCCAGCTGGTCCACAGGCTTCCAGGGCTTCTCCTCTCTACTTGCCATCTTGCTGTAGTAGAACTGGGCTTACAGATGTTTGCTACTACATCTGACTTCATGGGGGCTGTAGGGACTCCCAGCCCAAACATGTAATCATTTCTTAAGGAAAATAGGATTTGAACATTAAAGCTTTTCTAAAACTTGTTTTTCTTTTGAAAAAAAAAGATGGTAACAACAAGAAAAACACTTTACTTATTAATTTACTTCTGAACTGAATGTAGCATCATTCTTACAGCAGGAGTCTTCCACAAGAATTTCTTTTCCATCAAAGGAAGAGGTTTTTATGATGAAGTTCAGATGTGAACATCACGGAAGCTGAAACCTCATGTACATTTTCTCTCACTCTCTAAACAGCTTGCTCACCTGAGGACGCACTCAGTTTTTTGGTTTGGTTCAGTTTGGTTGTTGTTTGTTTTGTTTTGTTTTTGTAATTTTCCTCTTCATTTAAAAACATGTTAGGCAAACATCTCAATATTGTTGAGACTGCAGAGTCTTACTGACTCACGCATCGCTGCTGTCCATCATATCCTAGTTCATTTAACTTGTAACACGGTCGTCACCGATGTAAAAGTCTTAGTCTTCTTTCACAGCCCAAAAGTTGAGGTCTGTTTCACCCCCGTGTTTGAAGTGATGTCAGTGCTCTCCAGTAAAGGGACTGTCCCTCTGCTCTGTGCCCAGGGGATGCCCAGCAACGCCTGGGCCAGTCCAAGCTGGTCATCGAGGAAGCTAACAAGACGACAGTGGCTGTCCAGCAGGTCACCACGCCAATGGCCAACAACCTCAGCAGCTGGTCCCAGAACCTCCAGACGTTTGACTCTTCTGCCTATAACACTGCCGTGGACTCTGCTCGGGATGCAGGTACCTCTTACAAGCACCACAAGCTTGGCTATCCGAAGAATCGTCCATTAAAGTCTACTCAACCTTTGATGGGAAACAGTGTGGTCCATCTGCATTTTAGGTTGGAATGCTATAGAAATGAATTCAGAAAAAGAGAAACATTTTACTCAGTCCGTCTATGTATTTATCTAAAGTCTAGACTTATCTACTTTCTAGACAGGTATGGACCTACATGAAATACATATAAATTTCACAAAAATTTACAGGTAGATGCACTGGTGGAAGTAATATAGTAGTTAAGTTGATGAAGTAGTTTCTATTAAGTGACAGCAATCATGATGGTAGCAATTATCATTATCGATGTAAGACCAATCCTTTAGCATAAAAGTTTAATCAAACATTAGAGTAAATAATTTCAGCAAAGTACTGTCTTACTTTTAGAGGGAAAAAATAGTAAATGGTGTTGATTTTACTGACAACCATTTGGATTCTACTTGAGTGGATCCAATTATTACCAACAAATAGCAACTATGTGTGTTAGCCAATTCACATAATCAATTTTATAGCAATGAAAATGAAATATATTAATATCTACCTAATGTAGTTCTGTATATATAGTTAAAATCACATAATAACAGAGAATACCTTTTTCCATTCTCACATTTTTATTCAGATTCTTCATAAATCTCTTGGAGATCAGTGTCTACCAATGTCATGACAAATCATGCCTGTTAGTCATTATCCACAAAAAGTCTCTAAAATAGGTTTACAGACTACATCTGAATTAAAAATGGTCATGAATCCATACCTGATCTGTCAGTCGCTAGCAATTCTACCAAAATTTACAAAGGCCGATTACCATACAGGAATAGAATTCTTTTATAATATTTTCCCATATGTATTCATAAATTCATCCACATGACCATTGTACTCAATCAGTTTTTAATTTTTAACCTTTAAAAGATTTGTCTAGTTCAATAGCAGAGCACTTTTCTAGAATTTTTAAAGCCCTAGTTTGATCTCCAGCTGGGGGAGTGTCTCTGTGCTATTCAGTATTTTCATTTGTCAAGACATTGCCTTGGGAATATTTTCTGTGTCTGTGTTAAATTTATTTTCATCTTTTTTTTTCATTTGTCCTATCAAGTTATCATAATAGCATCCAAAGAGAGCACCAACTGAAATTGTCCCAGGCTACTGCGTTTTCCCCAAATAGCACTTTGTGCTTTAAAACAAAGTAAATCAAACAACATCCCATGATGTAAGAGACTTTAGAAAGAGTCCATATGAAGAGGGCCAGAAGTCTGTCTTATATGTCTTTCCATAAGCAAAATTTTAAGGTAGTAGTTTAAATATTTTTATTATTTTCCCACTTTACAGTTCACTCTAGTATAAAACGACTACTAGAATCAATGCTCTACCAGGTAACTGAAGGGGGGGGTGCCCCACCCTTGCCACTTCTTTCGATTAATTAGTGAATCTCCTAATGCCCGGGGGTTGTTTCCTCAGAAGGAGATCTAGAATTAAAAAAAAAAAAAAAAAGAGGAAAAGAAAGGATTGAAGAGAAAGAGAGAACGCAGGAGGGAGAGAGGAAGGGGGCAGGAAGGGGGAGAGAAGGAAAGGAGAGGGAATGGGGAGAGAAGAGGAAAGTCCTGCAGTCTGCTTGGGCTTCCCCTCCTCTGCCCATCCCGTCCAGCTGCAAAGCCACCCTCTCCAGCAGTGGTGAAGGCAGCTGACTCGTGCTCTCTTCCATTAACTCCGCCCCCCACCCCTCCCACCCACCCCCCTATCAACCCCCCCACCCCACCCCCGTCACAGCAGCTGCATCAGTGTCCTGCATACACACAGCCGTCCTGGAGAACACCCTTCTTGTCTTTCATCAGTCAAGGCCTCCTCACCTGTTGCATCAGTCTGTATAATAGACGTGTGGTGCCTATGCTGTGTGATTAAAGGAACATCTGTATGTTGCTCATGGAGCCTGCCCTTTAGAGGGTACTTTGTAAGTCAGCACACACCACATTCCATTTATAAATCAATATGTGCTCCAAATGTCACCAAAAAAAAAAAAAAAAAAAAAACCAGAATGGATTATGCTTTAAGTTCCACCATTAATTTTGTAAGGTTGAAAATGATGTCCAATAGATCTACCAGAGGTAATATGTTCTCTGTCTCTCACTTGATCCTTAAAATATAATTAATTCAAGTGACTCGTTTTCCTTATTGCAGTACGAAATCTCACAGAGGTTGTCCCCCAGCTGCTGGATCAGCTTCGGACCGTTGAGCAGAAGCGGCCCGCAAGCAATGTTTCTGCCAGCATCCAGAGGATCCGAGAGCTCATTGCTCAGACCAGGAGTGTCGCCAGCAAGGTACGTGACGTGATGAGTGGTGTCACCAGTTACCTGGGAATGATGGGGACACAACACTGAGCTCCAAATCCTCAGCAGCTCCTGAGGCCTGGTGCCTTCTCACTGTATTCTTTATTGGAGTCACATGAGAAGTTACCTGTGGAAGGTAACCCTGTGGGGTACGGTGGCACAAGACTGTAGCTAAAGCACTTGGAGGCAGAGGAAAGAGGATCTCAGCAAGTTCCAGGCCAGCCTTGTCTGCAGAGCAAATTCCCTGCCTCTAGGGCCACAGAGCAAGTTCACATCCCAGGAAACATACAAATAAAGAAATCTTTTTTTTTTCCTTCTTTTTTTGTAAGTAAACCAATTCTTAGTCCCAACCTCAGAGCAAGGAAGGCTCAACACTTGTCATCTTTCAAGTTACTTGGTTCTCCTAAGGTGGAGCCAGAATTAGCCACAAAGCTCATAAGCAAAAGAAATCAAGTTAAGCTTCAATAAAGGCAGTATATTCATTATTCATTTTTAACAGCTGCATTAGTACAATTACCGTACGGAACAGTCTCGCCCATGTGACCCACTTCTGTAAAACTTCTCTGGTACAACGCTGTGGGGCGTTTACCCACCACCCCCACAGCTTCCCAGAGTTTTCTTGAGTGCGATCAGCAGGAAATATTAGATAGAAGGATTTATAGCGGAGAATCTTGTGGAGATAAACAGAAAATAAAGGATAGCCTCGAGAGGGCCTGGAACCTATTCCAACGGGCCCCGACTGTCTCTGGCCCAGGGTTTTTATAGACACACCAAGGGGTGGAGCAAAAGACCTCCTCCCCCAGCACAGCCAAGTGCAGACCATCTCAGACACCTGCACTCAGGCCCGTGGTCCTGATCATCCTCTATTCGGACCTGCTGGGTAAAGCCATGAGGAACCCGAGAACGGGCTCCCACACAACGCATGTTATGTGAAGGTTTTGTTGATCGCTCCACAGGCTTAAGTGAGGAATCATGAGTGGAAGGCACATGTCTGAGGTTCTGTTACAGAGGCCACCGAGCCACAAGACACCTAGAGGCGGCACTGTCACAGCGGATGCCCACACCATTAACATTCTCACATGCCGAAAGAGGATTTGTGCTTGGACCTCTGTTTAATTTGTTTTCATTGATTTATAGATCAGCCTCATTTTTACAACCAAAGTACATGATTTTTCTTTTCTCAAGAACCGCATCCAACAGAACATTCGCCCAAGGACTGGTGGAAACAAGAATAAGAAACCAACTATTTTATAGTGCTGTGGATTATTCTTGGTAAATGCATGCACCCTTCAAGTGCTGTGTAAGAAAAGATCCTACCTTACAAATTATCCTATTTGGATACCTCTATGAATATTTCATGATAGGTTATCTTAAACATATATCAAGAAATGACATTTTTAAACTGGGTGTGGTGGCACGTGCCTGTCATCCCAGAATGTGGGAGGCTAAAACAGAGGATTGTGGGTTTGAAGCCATCCTGAACTCATAAGAAGTTTCCAGGACAACACAGTGAGACTGTCTCAAAGACAAAAAAAAAAAAAAAAAAAAAAAAAAAGGAGGTGGGAAGGACATTTTAAAAACTATTTTTGTTGGAGTTTTCTTGATGATGTTATTCAATATTACTTAAATGGAATATAACATTGGGGTCCTGATCACCAAAATAAAAGGTCATTTTCTAAACAAAGACTGAGCCTGGCTGCCGGGCACTCGGCTCCAAAGTGAGACGTTTTTCGTACACACAGACAGCCTTCTCTGACTCTCAGGGAGGCTTCAGGCCTACACACTGCTTGATTGTTTGTTGAGAAGTATTGATCTCTACTCAACCGATAACAGGAGAGACAGCTGTGCTCCAAGTGCTGGGGACTAGACCCTCAAGCTAGCTGACTATCAACATCAGCCAAATCAATATCAATTGATATAAATACATCTAATTATTCAGAGAGGTTCGAACGGACAGTGTGAATATGCACATTGTCAAATGCTCCCCCCAAATCTCTCACAAATCAAATCAGTTCCTAGTGTCATCTAGGGGCCTCTAGCTGAAACTGTGCTTTGCCTCTCTGAGAAACATTACAGGAAACGGCTCAAGGAAGTTCTTACTACAACTATTACAGGGAGAGCGCCAGGGGTGGAAAGCGCTTTACAGTTACCCCCTTATTTCTCACAGCCTGTTTAGTATGTCACTTTACAGAAGAATCCTGAGTGGCTGACTTAGGGTTGCCTAGTCATTAAGTGAAATGGCAGGTGTGAAGTCGGAGGCCATGCCTAGACCCTGACTGCTCGGGTGTGGTCAGGATGCTGCCCACAGCTTTACTCTGGACTGCTTTGATTAGGGCCTTAGGGAAAGAGTTTCAGCCGCTTTAGTACCCAAGATGAGTTATGCTTCTCCAAACAACTAATTCTTCTGTGCATTGAAGAGCCACTGTGATTTGTAAGACCAGTCAAGTATCCCTTCACCTTATTTTGTTCACTCACCTGAGGGTATAGTTCACCATGGGAGTCATGTCTGTCCTCATCCTTGGATCTGCTTGGTCCATCCTTTACTCCTGTGCTCTCTTCAGCCCGGGTTAGTCTAAAGCTATCATGTTGTGATCTGCCCTAAACACTTCCTCTAACTAAGCGAGTTAATGTGTAAGTAAACAAAGGGATGGAGGCAAGCCGCGGTCCCTCCAGAAACTGGGGGAGAGCACTCTGCCCCCCCTTTTTTTTTTCAGAGCACTCTTAATGGAACAATTTGTATAATTCCAGATCCAAGTCTCCATGATGTTCGATGGCCAGTCGGCTGTTGAAGTGCACCCCAAAGTCAGCGTGGATGACCTGAAGGCCTTCACGTCCATCAGCTTGTACATGAAGCCTCCGGCAAAGCAGCCGGGGCAGGCTGGGAGCTGGGCAGCAGATCAGTTTGTCCTCTACCTCGGAAGCAAAAACGTAAGCGCACAGCGGAGGATTTAGCGGAGAGAGTGTTGCCCTCCGCCTGGAACAGAGCTGTTGAAAAAAAGCAAACAAGGGCTGGAGAGATGGCTCAGAGGTTAAGAGCACTGACTGCTCTTCCAGAGGTCCTGAGTTCAATTCCCAGCAACCACATGGTGGCTCACAACCACTTGCAATGAGATCTGGTGCCCTCTTCTGGCCTGCAAGGACACATGCAGGCAGAACACTGTATACACAATAAATAAATAAACCTTTAAAAAAAAAAAAAAGAAAAGAAAAAAGCAAACAAGTCTCCACTGTGACAGTACGGGCCAGAAATCATTTTAATGGCGGGACACAAGCTGTGACCGGAGGGCAAGAGATTCCAGGAATAGGGGTAGTATGTGGGAGATTACTTCCTGGCGGCATCCCATCACTGACTTGAGTGAGTCTGAACAAAGCGTTTGAAAGGCCTTTGGAATAACTATAGCCTCCGTTTGTCAGTGCTGAATCCTGCTTAAAGGTGCGTAAGGACTGGTTTTGTCCAGGTACGGGATCCCTAAGCTAACCTGACAGTGCTGGCACGCTTCCAGCAGCCTTCACATTCCCATGAGCCTTCAGTAGTCCTCGCCTCTCCTCACCCTCCACCAGTGCAGCCAGCCCTTAGAGATAGCACAGAGTCAGCACACTCTGATGCAGACCCGGGGAGGGTAGAAACCGGGAGCAGATGCCAGTCTAGCAGCAGCTTGGAGGGGCAATTAGGGCCAGAAGATGCTTGGAGGCAGCAGCTCTTTGGACCTGTAATTGTGCTTTGCAGAAACGAAACAGATGATAGATACCCTTTGTGTGGATTATCCTTATTGATTTTATTGAAGTGACTTCTTGATATTTCAGGCCAAAAAAGAGTACATGGGTCTCACAATCAAAAATGATAACCTGGTGTACGTTTATAACTTGGGGACCAAAGATGTGGAAATTCCTCTGGATTCCAAGCCTGTCAGCTCCTGGCCTGCTTACTTTAGTATTGTCAAGATTGAGAGGTAAGGCGAATCCATGACAAGTGGCTGATGTGCCCATTTCCTAAGAAGTCTATACACACACACACACACACAGAGAGAGAGAGAGAGAGAGAGAGAGAGAGAGAGAGAGAGAGAGAGAGAGAGAGAGAGAGAGTCTTCTCATAGATGGGATATGCTTTTTTTCTTTTTTGTCTTACTCCTTTTCTTCCACTGTTCCCATATTCCTTCCCAAACACCTGAGTGAAATGTAAATACTAGAAAAAAAAAATGGTTATTTCTAAATAGCAACCTGATTATCAGATGGTTTTACCTTGCTGTAAGTTAAATTTTAAAATTAAGATGTCTGTTTTTCTACTTTCCTCCAGTAGTGGATATTCTGTATGTGCGCAACAATATGATACAATCAAACACCTATTTTTTTAATGGAGTAACATTAACATTGACACAATGAACGTATTTTCTACAAATGGCCACGCTGAAATGAGTGACAGCCCTTTCTGTCACCAGGGTAGGGAAACACGGGAAGGTGTTCTTGACAGTGCCCAGCCTCAGCAGCACAGCGGAAGAAAAGTTTATTAAGAAGGGGGAGGTTTCAGGAGACGACTCCTTGCTGGATCTGGTCCCCGAGGACACTGTGTTTTATGTCGGCGGGGTGCCTGCCAACTTCAAGGTAAGCTATACAGCTGGCTTAGTGCAAATCTGCTGTGGCTCTTTCATAAACCTATAAACCCTAAATGACTGGGGTTGGGGAGTCGGGTGCCACTTCAAGAGCTCAGTTCGATGGGTGGTAGAATTCGGGAGCAGAATCGATCTGTAAGTCTGGTGTCTCCATCTGGCCTCGACTACCCATATTTTCAAAGTCTGATACTTTCAAGTCACAGCTAATGCTTGAAGATTAACTAGTACCACTTTGTAACTAAATGTCATTACAAAAAAAATATATTACAGAAAACTGTAATTTTATAATGATGTTTTGTAATGACGTTTTGTAATGTCATAATGTAAAGGTAATAAATGTTACTCCCAGGTAAGAATTAGTATTCTCTGCTACTAGAATATTTGTAGCTTAGAATGCCACTGGCTTGGATCTAGATTTCAGCATTGCACATGGCAGTTTCAAATACTGTTACCTGAAATATACAAGCACAATATAAAACATACGAGATGAGAAAGGGTAAGATCTAAGGGAGAGTATGAGACCTGACGGAGAGAGGATAAAGGAAGGGCCCAAGAGAGGAGAAGTCGGTATCGGGCCTCCCATTCAAGGACTTGCTTACAGTTGTGGGCACATTGTTGACCCTCTCTTGAGAATTACTCTATCTTTGTATGAGACCAGGAATACCCACTTCACAGAATTGGTGTGACAATGGTTTTCACTGTGAATTTGTTGACAAGGGTATGTAGTATACAGAGTCCATACCCAGTCAGCACCCTTTCTCCACTAAGATATGTGAAACTGACAAATCACTGTTTACGTAAGTGGCCTGGCATACTGCAGCAAGCTCTGGTGTGGAGAGATGTTCATGCCAGGGGATGGGTCCGTCTGAGTCCCTGTTCCAAAGTGTCCGTGTGCAACATGACCATGGGGTAATTGATTTCATCTCTCGGTCCCACAGCTCCCTGCCAGCTTAAACCTGCCCAGCTACTCAGGCTGCCTGGAACTGGCCACTCTGAACAATGATGTGATCAGTCTGTACAATTTCAAGCACATCTATAATATGGATCCATCTAAGACAGTGCCCTGTGCCAGGTAAGAGACCGTTAGGAGCTTGAAGACCTTCCATAGTCAGGCATGGGCAGTGGACAGGAAAAGCAGTATGTGTGAAGCTGGGTGGGTGTCAGGCCTGCAAAATGTGCTTCCGTTTTCCTCTGCCACAGATGAGCATGCGCACCATTAAAATTAATTTTTCTTCCTCTTTTTTGCATTTGATTTAGGATTCTAAGGTCAGGGGTTTCCTTGAATATTTCAACTATCCTAGTATAGAATGGGGAAGAAACTCATTTAAAACAGTCCATTTGATTCATCTATATTGTATCTTCCCTGTGGACAACAGGGCTTCACTTACATGCCACCAGGACGATGGAAGATGTTCTAAACATGGGTTCACGGGTCTCACTGGAGAAGCTGTAACCAAACCTGTAACACCCAGTGACCCTGTGTTCCGTTTCAGGGATAAGCTGGCCTTCACTCAGAGCCGGGCTGCCAGCTACTTCTTCGATGGCTCTAGTTATGCTGTGGTGAGGGACATCACGAGGAGAGGGAAATTTGGCCAGGTGACTCGTTTCGACATCGAAGTTCGAACACCAGCTGATAACGGCCTCGTGCTTCTGATGGTCAACGGGGTGAGTGAACATGGAAGCCCTACTTACTCCCCTGTATTTCCTTTGCTCTCCGCTATCCATTTTTCCAGGAACTACCCCACCCACCCCACCAGGTGGGGTGCTCCAAGCCATCAAAATGAATATCTAGTTTAGAAAGGAAAATTGGATTTATTTTTCTCCAGGGAAGTTCTGATAGCATTAAATAAAAGCAGTCCTGAGAGGCACTTCTCCACACCTCAATTTCAATATATATTAAATATACCCTTTCATAATAACAAAAAAACTCAGCACTAAGATCTAGTCTATATTAAGATATTCTCCTTATAAGTAATATATATATATATGTGGCAAAATCTCATAAGCATGTCATGAAACACTCAAAAGTCGTAAGAAAAACAATGAAAAATATTAAATAAAGAAATTTTAAATTTAATATAAATATATAAATTAAATATATGTAAATTTAAATATAAAACATTTAAATATAAATACTTATTTTTAAATAAAATGGAATTTATTTTCATTTACTAATAATATAGAAACCTAAACTTGCTAAAAATATCTTATTAATAATAACAATGTTAGTGAGAATGATATAATAAAATGTACTGTTCCTGAATTTCTTTTTCTACTCTGTGACACAGTGATTCAAAAATGACATCCTAACCCCAGTTTTTATCATTACTGTTTTATTGGCTGTCAAAACTAGATAGAATTCCTGCCCCAAATAAAATGTATATACATATATATATGGCATATATTATTAGCTGTACCTACTAAATCATACACATTTTTAAATTTCATGCTCCACCTGGCCCAGGTAATCTTTGCTAGTTGGCTGGTTCATTTTCTCTCCTCATGTCAGTTCTTCTGAGCAAATCAGATACTCTATTATCTTGTGAACTTTAATAAAATTGCTCCAAACCACTAAATGTCTTCTTTGAAAGATTTTTTAAAACAGATTAGAAATCTTTTCTCATAAAAAAAAAAAATTGAAAGTACAGACATGACTTAATACTGTGACCAGAAACTGAAGCTTTCCATAAGCTGATACAGTCACTCAATTATGCTGGGATTTTCTGTGGACATATAAAACTGAAAAATCAATATATATTCCAAAGATGGAAAAAAAATAGTATAGATGTAGGAGATGTAAGAGAGTTTACAAAAAATAAAAATAAAAAAAAACACCCCACTAATTATGCCAACTAATGGATGGGATTTGGGGATTTCCTGTAGCATTTCCACACCTGCACAAACCAGACCTGGGGTGTCCCACCCCACTGTTCTTAGTACTTCTCTCTCCTCCTTTTTCTCCCCCTCTCTAGAGCCCGAGAGTTCCAAAATGAGAGTTTTTTATAGATAGTACATTTTGTTGTTTTCATCACCAAAATCATTTAACAATAGAAAAACACACCCCCAAAATGTTTCCAAACATCATTTATCTATAGCATACTTTCTGAGAAAGAGAGGAAGGAGGGGTGGGAGGGAGAGCATGCTACTTTTTCATCCATGGTATAATTCCCTTTATCTTGAGGTGACATATTAACTCTGTTTTTTGAAATAGCCGGGTTTCATGCTACTGAAAGACACTTGTCATCACATATAAAGTTCAACAATTTAAAACAACACATTTCATAACAAAGAAAATGTCTTTTAAGTATTGTCAAAACTTCACAGGAAGTAACCAGCAGATACCTACCTGCCCCAAAGCATTTTCATATCACTCCACATCTCAGTACAAAATGATGGTCAAAATTCTATTTTTTTAAGTCATATCACCAGTAAACTCCACAAATAGGCCCAAAGAGGACACCTTGGGCCCTTCAATCCAGGAAGTCCTCACCAGCTATGTGAAATCTAGGAAAGTCTGGTACAACTGTGAAATGAAGTGCCAGGGTCAATAGTCTATGTCAAAGATGGCTGTCTGTATTTCAGTTGGGTTTTGGGTTTTGGATTTTTTTTCTAGTGGGTTGTTTTGGTTTGGTTTGGTTGTTTGGTTTTTCAAGACCGGGTTTCCCTGTATAACCCTGACTGTCCTGGAACTCGCTTTGTAGACCAGGCTGGCCTCGAACTCACAGAGATCCACCTGCCTCTGCCTCCCAAGTGCTGGGATTAAAGGCATGCTCCACCATGCCCAAATTATTTCAGATTTTTTAATGAACATAAATAAAAATTAAAACCTCTTCCCTCGACCTTAGAGATTGTTTCCCATGTCAAGAAATATACAAACTCAGCCGGCAGTGGTGGC